GTTGATGCCTCGGCACTCACTCTAGCCTGGGCAACAAAGCAAGACTCTGTCTCAAAAAAAAAGACTCAGTTGGTAGACATGATGACTGTGGGTCAAGGGTCAGGGAGACAGGATACCAGTCAGGGACTTTATTGTCTTGAGATCTGGTTTTCCATATTGCTACAAGGAAGCCATCCATACTTGCTTCCCTAGGGGGAAGTTAGCATCTATACAACACTCAGAGATTACCAAGCACTTTGCCTACATCATCACCTGGATATCCCAATAACCTCTTGAGGTAGAGAATATTATTTCCATTTGACCTGCAAAGACTGAGGTTTAGTTGAATAAATCGCACAGGACAACACAGACAGTGGCAGAGCCAAGACTTGCACCCAGGACTCCTGACTCCAAATCCTTACACTACTCACAGCACGTGGTGCTCTGGGGCCCTCCGTACAAGGTGAGGAGAAGTTAGAACAAAGTCCTGCTCCAACTCTGAGCTTGGAGTCATTGGCCTCTTGAAGTCTGGCTCTCTTTGATGCTGCTGGGGGTTTGTTTCCAAGAGTTGCTTTGGCCAGGTCTCTGAGAAGAGACGCACTGTGACTGCTCCTCATTATCACACAGGAGAGGTCCCTGCTTCCTGAGGGAGACAGGATTTTTGGCAGGTCTGCCATGGCCCCGGGCAGCTGGCTGTCCACGAGGAGGGAGCGCTATGGTGTCTCCGGCAGGCCAGCTCTCACTTGTTGAGTTTCTGTCGGTATGCACCCTCTGCGGGACCCAACCATATTAAATTGCTTCAAGCAGCCTATAAAATAAAGACAATTTCAATGCCTTAAGGAATAGCATATCCCCAACCATAAATAAATTAGGGCTCTAATTCCATCAAGGCATGTGGGTGACATCACACACCGTGAGGCTGAGCTCGGAAGGGCTGTTCACAGCACCACGAATCTGAGATGGAATTACCACCTTAATTTATTTACATCTTCTGGTGGCTAGGTTGCCGTGATAGATGATTTCTGAAAAGTCTGGTCCCCCTAGATTATGACTTCATGTTCCATTCTTCTCCCCTCCACCCCCTTCCCTCTCCCACGCTCCCCTTCCTCTACCTCCCTTTTCTTTTTTTCTCTCTCTCAAACCCCTGGGCCTGCATTTCCCTCCATCATATTTTGTTTTCTCTGTGGTCCTGGTAACGCATGCAAGGAGGGAAGGCCTAGCCCTGAGAAGAGACGGCAGATTCCAGACGCAGAGCACGGGCCTAAGAGAAGAGGGGGAGGCAGAGGAGGAAGGAGTCTCTCCTAGGCTATGATTTGTTGCATTGCCCCAGGGCCGTTCACCCGGGGTCTCTCTGGAGACATATTGCCTTTCCTTGCTTAAAATTTCAATTTAATTAAATCCACTAGGTGTGTTCTTGAATGTCAACCATGTCCTGGGCAACCTGGGGCAGTCGGAACCATCTGGAACCAAGGAATCTTAGAGACAGACGGGCCTTCAGCGGTCTTTAGTTCAACTCCTCATTTTACAAATGAGGAACCCAAGGCCCAGAGAAGTGAAGTAATTTTTCTAAGATCATGTGACAAATTAATGTCAGAGCCAGGTCTAGACTGCAGAAAAAGTAGGAAATGTTAACAAAGTCTGCCAGGGCCTTCCAGCTTAGTCAGGGAAATAAGACAGACATCTTCAAAAGAGTTATCTAAACACACGACAAAGTATATCATCAGGGCCAAACCGAGGGTTAAAAAAACTGAATTCAGGGAAGTGCAGCCACAAGAGTGGCCGGCAAGTTTGGGGCAGGTTGCACAGGGGAATGAGTAGCTGAGCTGGGTCTTCAAGGGTGGAGGGGACCTCACTTGGCAGAGACTAGGAGGGAGGACATTCCTTACAGGCAGAGAAGTGGCCTGAGACCTGGAGTGAGTGTGCCAACCGCAGGAGGGCAGTGGGACCCCTTGGGAGAGCAGGGTCAGTGCCTAAGTAGCATTATCTGATGGGGCCACAGGATACTGCACTTAACCCTGAGGTCATGTGAGGGTACTGGAAGCTCTTGAATAAAAGCAATAAATGAAAACATGTTTTTGAAGTTGGCTACACAAACTGAGGCCCAGGGGATTACCAGCATTGGCCTTACCTCACCTGAGACTCAAAAATCAGAATCTGCATTTTAACTCGACACCCAGTTGACTCACAGGCACATTAACATTTGAGAAGCTGTACTTTAAGAAACCTGGTGTACAGCAAATGTCACTTCTCCATTATTCCAGAGTTGTCCCCTGGTGCTGCTTATTTTTTTTTTCCTGACCAAGAATGACTTCTTAGCAAGCATTATTATACTTGGAAACTCTTGTGAAATGAAATAAACAAGCAAATTATTTTTTAAAAAGAATGAAGTGTTCAGGACTCTTAACATTAACAGTTAATGAAGAGGACAATATTAGATTTTGTGAACACTATTAAACATGTATTCATTTCCATTTGGTAGTTCTTTTTTTAAATTTTGGAGCCCATGGACTTTCTTCCAATGATCGGACATTTCCTAAGCCCTTGGAAAGCTCTCAGGGGTTTAGTATTTAATGGATAAAACACGTCATGGTGTGTCTTGCAGCAGCAGGGACGCCAAGATAGCTCAGGGCAGCTTCCTAGGGAGGAGGTAAGACCTCAGCAGGGAAACCTGAGAGAGTTCCTGCCCTGTCCAAGACCCCTGCCCCATGTCGGGATGCCCCATCCAAGGCCCCTGCCCCATGTTGGGAGACTTCAGGGGAATATCCAAACCTGGAGTTGGATTCACTAAGGGTGGAGGCACTTCCCCTTCTCCAGGCACCACATAAACCTCCTAGACCCAGGAGCTGCCCACGGCCACGTGGTAGGTGGAGCCAGTAATGAATGAATTTCCCATCAGCCCACCAAATGGGAATTTGGAGTTGGAATAAGTTGATTAAAAAAATACATGAAGTGATTTGTGTGTATATATACCTGAGTTTATGGATCAAGATGAAAACTTGCTATATTTTCTTAAAAAAACAAAACAAAAACAAAAATTCTCCTCCGGAGACCTTCGCTAATGGGAGGAGAAGGTGTGTATATGCTGGGGCTGGCCACAAGCAAAGCTGCAAAGAGTCACAGGAGTCCTGTAGTCACTCTGACTGTAGACTGAGATGGACACAGAGCGCAGCCCACCTCCTCCCTCCAAACCACAATTTATGCTCCAAGTCTGGGTCACAGCCTCCTCTCCCAGTGACCATCTATCTTTTTTTTATTTCGGCATATTATGGGGGTACAGATTTTAAGGTTTCAATAAATGCCCTTTCCCCCCTCCCTTCCACAAGTCTGAGTTTCCAGCATGACCATCCCCCAGATGGTGCACATCTCACTCATTATGTATTATGTACCCGCCCCCCTCTCCCCTCCCACCTGCCCAATACCCTATTACTGTAGTACTTATGTGTCCACTTAGGTGCTGCTCAGTTAATACCAGTTTGCTGGTGAGTATATGAAGTGCTTGGGGCAGAACTTCAAATACATAAATTCTATCTGGGTCTCCTCCGCTGTAGCTGGCATGGCCTTGATCTTCTAGAAACTGTCACCAGAGAGGCCCAAGCCTAAGAGATCTGTGCTGGGGAACTGCCTATGAATCACCCTCAGATGTGCTGGGTCATGCCCCTCAAAGTGCCACCTTCTTTGAAGCTCTGGTTCCCTACGGGTCTCCTCTACTCAAAGGGACTTCCACAATGAGGAAATCTCCCACAGCAATGGGAACCTTCCTGGGAGCCTCCTGTCTTAATTTTAACTTTTTAAAAATTGTGATTTAATTCACATACCATAAATTCATCCTTTTAAAGTATACAATTCAATAGTTTTTAGGATATTCAGAAAGTTGTGCAACCATCACCACAATCTAATTCCAGAACATTTTCACCATCCCAAAAAGAAACCCATACCCATTAGCAATCACTCCCCACCTCCCTCTTCCCCCAGCTCCCGGCAACCACAAATCTCTTTTTTGTCTCTATGGATTCTGGACATTTCATACAAATGGGATTACATAATATATGGTCCTTTGTGACTGGCTTCTCTTCTCTTGTATCTTGCCACAAGCAGAATCCCTCACTAGTTTCTTAGGGAGGTCTGGAAGTTGCTAGTCTGGGAAAGATGGTAACAGCCCTGGAGCCGTTCTCCTGAGGAAGGCCCTTGGCTTTTCCCCTCCTGAGTCTTCCTCCAGCAGCTGCTCCAGATGCCCCATCCTTGCTGGGACTCAGCTTTCCTGAAGGGACCAGGTCAACACAAGCGAATGCATTTCGGCGGAGGAGTGGGTCCAGCCCTGTGCTTACAGTGCAGGCTGAGGTCTGGCCTCTGCCACAGAATCGTTGCTCAAATCCTGTCCCATCTGGCCACGGCCTTTTCATATGCAGTATTTGAATGGCCCTTCACAGTATACAAGATGATGCCTCGGTTGATCTACACAACTGTAGAAAGAGCAGGTAAAAGTCTTGCCCAAGGCCACACAGGTGGGAAGTAGTAAAGGCAGGGTTCAAGTTCAGGACTTCAGCCTCCTGTGCTTCCCCAACGGCTTAACAGCTGTCCTTGTGGTAGACTATCCTCCCAGTCCTCTCTCGCCCTCAAACTTCTCCCTCCAGAAATCTACCCTGGAGAAATGGAGCCAGCTGCGAGCTGACAAGCAGACTCTCATCTTTCTCGCTCCCGCTGAGCTGCTGTCCTTCCTCATCCCGTGCTGGCCCAAGCTCCACTAGCGCCGCTCATGGCCCCACTGACACTGAGGCCTGTTACTTTGTCTTCCAACTTTCTGTGATTGTGATGGGCTGAGTGTTTGTACCCCCACCGCAACACACACCAGATTCATATGTTGAAACCCCAACCCCCAGTGTGACAGTGTTCAGAGATGGGGCCTGTGGGAGATGACCTGGGTTAAATTAAGTCACGTGGGTGGTGTTCTCATAATGGGATTTGTTGCCTTATAAGAAAAGAGAGTTCACATGAAGAAAAGATCACGTGAGCACATATGAGAAGTCAGCTGTCTACAAGGCAGGAAGAGAAACCTCACCAGGAACCGAGCAGCCAGCACTTTGACCTTAGACTCCCAGGCCCAGAACTGTGAGAAATAAATCTCTATTATTTAAGCCGCCCAGGCTGTGGTATGTTGTTATGGCAGCGCTAACAGACTAAGACAGAGATCTTGAGAAAGTTATTGAACCACTTGTGCCTAAAGTTTGTCATTTCTTTATAAGAGAGGATGCTATTAGTACCCACCTTTTAAGGCTATGGAGAGGGATAATTATTTTGTGTAAAGAGCTTAGAATAGCACCTGGAACATAGCATGCATTTAATAAATGTTAAGTTTTTTTTTGTATTATTGTATACATTTGTATTTCTTATGCTGTTGAATAAAAAACTCTATTTATGCATAGTATGACTTATATAAAAGAGATGTTCATAAATATTGGGGGAATGAAAGAAATAATGAAGAAAGAAAATAGGAAAGAAGGAAGGAAGGAGGGAAGGAAGGAGGGAGGGAAGGAAGGAAGGAAGGAAGGAAGGAAGGAAGGAAGGAAGGAAGGAGGGAGGGAAGGAAGTCACAGTAACTTGAAAATACAGAACAAATATTGATCTATAGCTAAGTTTTCTTTTTTTCTTTTAAAATGCCTTTATATACACACCAAAAGAAAATTCCAGCGTTCCAGAAAAGATAAATTTATTGGCAATTTCCGAAATTCACTTCAGGTTGCAAATGCAAAGGCTAGGATGGTGTCCTCTTTGTTGGTCAACACTGCACTAGTGTTGAAAAATCAATACTCAACCTTGGAAAGATCATTCTCACATCCAAACCTGCAGTTACTCCTGATTACATCAATTGCCATTTTATTAGATTCTCATTTCAGCATCCTAAGGGCCTGGCTTCCTTCACCCTCTGAATTGGCTGGGTATCAAGTTCTCAGTCAATCTATTTTCTTTTTCTCTCCCTGTGATCTTCCTAGTGAAGACTGATGTTCTCACTTGTAAAATTCACAGTGTCTCCTCGTGTTAGTATTCGGTCTGCTTTGTCTGGTGACTTCCTTGCAACCCGTCCCTCCTCACACATCTCAGGTCAGGAAAAGCTCCCAGTGTCTGGTGAGAGTATGTTGGGGGGATGAGGAGCGATGCCGTGAGATGACTGAGATTCCAGACAGCTAGGAGAGTCTTTCTCTTGACCATTCCTACATTTCCTTAGGTTCCTGGTCCCCAGCACAGCTGCCAGAGACAACACTGGATGACATCCCTGAACTGGACAGACCTAGCTTCAGAACACCCAACACGCTCCCAAAGTTATTCTGATGGAAGGCACTTGTGTGCCTTTACGTGGGGCCATTTTGGGCACACCTTTCCTATGCTCTAGTCCTGGAATTGCTGATTGGACCAAGGTCAGACACCTGGACCAAAGGGCAGGTACCCCTAAAGATGAGCTCTGCCCATCCAATTCTGTTTCTAAGGCATTCGAACCAAGAAATGCCAAGAGAAGGGTGTAATCAGCAACGAGGCTAACACAGGAAGTCTGTGGTGTAAGAAGAAACCAGAGAAGCCAGGATAATCTAGTATAATCCAAAGGTACATGGGAACAGAAATTATAAGTAAGCAGAAGCCAGACTCAAAGAATTACCAGGAGGAAGATGGAAAAGATACTCAGAAAGGAACAGAAACACAGCGATACAAAGAGACCAGGCCTCCTATGTGAGAAAACCCTATGCCAGATGCCTCGGTGCTAGATCACATTCTGGTCCAGGCCTTGAATATTCTTAAAATAAATCCTCCTGTCTCTGGAGCTAACTTGAGTGAGTCTCTGTTTCTTACAACCACCAGGACCTAAGTATCACCTCCCTGTTCCTCAGGCCTATCCTGCGGCTGGCAGCCAGGTCTCACGGCGCCCTCCAGCCCAGGAGCACGAGCAGAGCCCAGCTCACCTCAATGCACTGCACTCGGAGTCTAGGATCCAAGTTAACCAACTGTGTGAAGTTTGAGCGCCCACCACTGTGAGACCCTATGCAGAGGTAAAGGCAAGTAAGAAAGCCCTGACTTCAAGGGATGTGTGATCTAAATAGGGTGGGAGGATGTGAGAAACAGAACTGAGTTAATACAAAACGGAATAGACGTGTGTGTCAAAGAGAAGCAAACGCAACGATTCCAAGATTCAGGGGAACTGTGGTCACATTAGGATGTGGGGTTCATGAAAGACTGTTTAAGCTGGCTGAGGATGCAAAAAAGAGATGTAAGAAATATGGAGGCAGGCCGGGCGCGGTGGCTCACGCCTGTAATCCTAGCACTCTGGGAGGCCAAGGTGGGCAGATCGTTCAAGGTCAGGAGTTCGAGGCCAGCCTGAGCAAGAGCGAGACCCCGTCTCTACTAGAAATAGAAAGAAATTAATTGGCCAACTAAAAATATATAGAAAAAATTAGCCGGGCATGGTGGTGCATGCCTGTAGTCCCAGCTACTTGGGAGGCTGAGGCAGAAGAATTGCTTGAGCCCAGGAGTTTGAAGTTGCTGTGAGCTAGGCTGATGCCATGGCACTCTAGCCCAGGCAACAGAGTGAGACTCTGTCTCAAAAAAAAAAAAAGAAAGAAAGAAAAAAGAAATACGGAGGTTGCTCTGGCAGAGCTTGACAATTGATTGGATATGAGGGTTGAGGAAGACACAATAGAGGAGGGTACTGACATTCCAAGCTGCACATCAACACAGCAAGGAAGTTGTCCATTTTGGGCATGTTGCATGGGTGGTGCTAGCCAGCAGAGGACAACCCCAAGGAGGCAGTCCCCATACAATTAGAAATGTAGGTCTGGGACTAAAGAGAGGGAGGAGACTAGGAATCTGGATGAGGGAGTCATCAAAGAGAAGAAATTGGGAAACAGGAAGAAAATGGGAATTCGTGTGACAAGAGAGAACTAACCAGAGAGGATGGGAGGAGGGGAGGCAGAGGTGGGGGAGCCATGGAGCTGCCAGGAAGGAGAATGGGCAGGTGAACTCAGTCCAGTGGAGCATCTCAGTGAGCAGGGGTGACCAGAAGTGCCCACTGCTGCCTGCAGGTCAGAATAGGAATGATACGGGAAGGAAGGGAAAGGGCAGTTGCCAGAGGAAGGCTTGAGCAGATGGTGGGCTGAGTTGGAAGGGGCTAGAAAACAAGAAAGAAGGAAAATGCAAGAAGGCCAAGCATAGTGGAGGTTAAATAAGCAGAACTCTATTAACCTCATGCTGCCCTATGGGGTTTGGAGCTGGGTTGGGAACAACAGCTTCCAGTCCGGGAGAGCATACCAGGTTAATAGTCTTAAAGTTACTGCCCACCAAGACTCACACGTCCACTGAACTTTTCTCACAGCAACCCCGATAGACTATTATTTTAAAATTATTATTATTATTTGTGGGCTCTCTAATTTTAAAAATAAAATAGTTTCCTTCCTTTAAAAAAAGGATTTATATAAGACAGAAATCTATAAAGTAAAAAAGTGGCAATGTGCCATAAATCCTGCCTCCCTAAAGATAAACACTATACATTTTTCCACACCAGTCTGCACACATGAAAACACAGTTTGCTCTTTCTCAAGAAAAAAAAAAAAGAAGGATCAAAGGATACATGTACATACACTGATGATGTGCAATTTGGTTTTTTAATTTGATATATTTTGTATCTTTCCCATATGGGACCATGTAGATGCACTTCATATTTTTTCAGTAATCACACAGGGTTTCATTGTGAGGACTATCAGATTATTGTAGTTTAATTCCCTATTGATGAACAGTTAGGGGGTTTTCAACTTTTTGCTATTGTAAATAATAAATATATCTATTTCTTTCATAATTGTGTAAGTATTTCCATAGGATAAATTCCTATACATAGAATTTCTGCTTCAAAGAGTATGGACATTCTTATTTCTATAGACAATGCTAAATTTCTCTCCAAAAATGTTGTAGCAATTTACCCATCCATCCATCCCCACATCTTTGTCAAACTGGGTATTAGCAATATTTGTCATCTTTCCTAATCTGATAGAAAAATTTAAAAAGCTGTTTTGATTTGCCTTACTAATTATCGCAGAGACTGAGCATCTTTTCATATGCCTTGACCATTTGTAATTTACCTTCTATTAATTTCTTCTGTGAATTTCTGTAAATGTTTTTTCTCATTTTTCCGAGTTGAAGATTTTTTTTTGTTCTAGTCATAAAACAACAGAAGTATACAGAGGTCCATGCTGGGAACCATTTCTAAACTTTTTAGCATATCCAAAGAGCCATTCCCCCTCCAACAGCCAAGTACTTCGTGGATCCTCACAGAAGCTAGGTGGGTAGCTAAAGTAGTAGAAACAGTGTTAATATTGTTTTAAAAACTGAACTTTGAAATTAGAGACATCAGTAATTGGAAAGTTTGAAATTAGAAACATCAGTAATTGGGAAGTTTGAAATTAGAGACATCAGTAATTGGGAAGTTTGAAATTAGAGACATCAGTAATTGGGAAGTTTGAAATTAGAGACGTCAGTAATTGGAAAGCTTTACAATAATATATTACCCTGGATTCAAGGAAGGAACAGTTCAGCATGGACACCAGTTTAGGATACAGAAGCAGATTAGATGGTGACACAAAACCAGAACAAAATGCTACCTTGGGCGCCTCCTTCCCCAGGTGGTTATACGAATGTCCAGCTTGGAGAAGGTGGTGATTAACCATCAGAGCATGGCTGCTGTCATGCATGTCCATGATGTGTAATTTACTGTTCCTATGGCTATACGTAACTTAACAGTTCAATAAATTGTGTATTAGCTTATTCCGTGTATGATCGGGTCTTCTCAATTCATTCTTTGCTGTCCTTATAAAGTCCCAAGAATCCTTTCTCATTTTATTAATGGATGATACCTGGGACAAAAATACAGGTGTGTGCATTAGGGAGCATGCCAGCGGAGGGTGAGGAGGTGGGAATAGAGATGACCCACCAACAGTTGCTGTCACCATGCCTGCCTGAAACCTAGCCCCAGCGAGGACAGAAAAGAACCCTGGGGTGGTCCCAGAGTAGCACTTGCCCCCCTGTGAGTGCACTTCCATTTACACAACAAAGAGAGGGGCTAAGTTCTCACTCCCATGGTGCCCAGTGCACTCCATAAAATCTCTTAATTAAATAAAAAATTTGGTGGGGCAAGTTCCCCCAAGGAATCAAAGAACATAAAAATTAAAAAGCAGACCTAAAACTTGAGTTGCCGAAGCCAAGCTCAGACAGGTTCATTTTTACTTTGCTCTTTCTTAGACAATGTTCTTCCCCAGGGGACATTTTTTTTTTCTTCTACCAATTTCTTCCTCACCCAAAAGCACAACTGCTTTTCTCCCTCCTACAGGTTTATAGGACATGGGGTAATTCCCTACCTCTGCCCAGTGCTGCTGGGGCTAACAGTTCCATCCTCTAAAAGCACCAGCTGGCTGGGGCTCTCTCTGGCGACTGAATAGTCTGTAAGCTCTGCCTCGCAGATCCTGCCACATTCTCCAGCGCAAGTGACTGAAAACATGCCTTTCCCAACAAGGAAAATATGTAAGATTTAGTTCCCAAGTTATGTTTCATGTTTACAACAGTCTTCTCATCATCGTTAGTTGGATTAAATTTAGTGATTACAAAGATTTTTGTTTTTATCAATAATACCCTTGATCTTGAAAAACAAGAGCAATTTAAACAGACCCAGATGCTCCAAACTCCACCACATGTTTATTGTATTTTTTTTAATCGCATTGTATTTGATGCTGTCATTTAAATCAATTAAATATGAACGTTATTCCTGTGGCCATGTTTCCCCAGCTTCTCACACTGAACCTTTGCTGGTTTTAGTTATTTGATTGCAGAACCTTCGAAGAAAAATATTTAATGTTAATTATCGTGTTATCCCCCACTTTTGTGAACTACGTAAGTCCCTCTACCAAAGCCCACGCAGAAGCCAGAATGTAATTCCAGGGAAAGTTACCCTGGACCTGCAAAGTCTTTGGATTTTATGTCACTGCTGTCTATTCCTTTTCAGAAAGACTTTATTTCCCTCTTTAAAATGGATCATTTAGTTGCATTATTATCTCTGCAATTATCAACAATGCTGCCAACGTAATTCAACCAAGACCTATCCAGTGTCCACGGACTTTTTGTAAACATTTCCTCCATCTGTAAATCAAAATAACTCCAACGACTTCAGTCATGGAACAGTGAATTCTAGGGGAGGAGTGGAGAGAGGCCTGGGGAAGGCAGGCATAAAACAATAAGATCTCAGGTTGTGTGTATAAAATAAAGAGAAGAAGGCTTGCCAGCAGAGGAATCGGTAACCTTGGGCATGTCATTTGACCTCGTTTGTATTTTAGTTTTCTCTCGCCTCTGGAAAAAAGCATGTGCCAAAAGTCTTTG